AAGTGTGATTCTAAGTCCCACATTGTATAAGAATGAGAAAATTGAGCAACATATAAGAAAGTATGACCCATAACACAATAACTTAAGGTTTTGGGTTGAGAGTGGTGTAAATTCTTATGTGGGTTGGGCTCATGTCTCATTGGTGTATATCTCCCTATGAATCCCCTCTCAAAAGACCTAATAAGTGGTATCAGAACTGAAGGTTGATCGGCAGTGAGTTAGAGTGATTTTTGCATTGAAAGTCTTCCTGACATAGTGAGTCAGGTAAGCGTGTCCCGTTAAGATGAACGGCAGTACATGGAAGGGCTACTAGTGAGCTCAAGGGGATGTACCAATGTGGAAGAATTCACACTTGAGGGAGAGATTGTTAGGAATACAAGTGAGTCTAAGTCCCACATTGTGTAAGAATGAGAAAGTTGAGCAACATATAAAGAAGTATGACCCATAACCCAATGCCTTAAGGTTTTGGGTTGAGAATGGTATCAATCCTTATGTGGGTTGGGCTTATGTCTCATTGGTGTGTTTCTCCCTTGTGAATCTCCCCTCGAAAGACCCAACAAGTGATATCAGAGTCGAAGGTTGATCGGCAGTGGTTTAGAGTGGTCTTTATATCGAAAGTCTCACATTGAGGAATTCACACTTGAGGGAGAGATTTTAGGAAATACAAGTGTGATTTTAAGTCCCACATTGGGTAAAAATGAAAAAGTTGAGCAACATATAAGAAAGTATGACCCATAACCCAAGACCTTAAGATTTTGGATTGAGAGTGGTGTTAATCCTTTATGTGGGTTAAACTCATATCTCATTGATGTTGTATCTCCCTAGTAAATCCCACTCGAAAAGACCCAACAGAACCATCCTTGTATTTCAAATGCAAATTTTTATTTTTACCATTTAATTACTCATAATTGGATCTCGATAATTAAAAATTTGCAACCTGATAAATTAAAAGAAACTTTTCAAATATTCAAATATTATTTAATAGACGAAAATGAGAGAATTTATAAACCTGGTCTACCTAGTAACATCATTTTAAATTCATTCTATTTGAAGGAATTTTTAGACTCAAACAAATCACTTAATATCTTCCATAAGTTGTAAGTCAAAGTCTCACTAGACACATGATGATAAATAGATTGATCTATTCATTTCCTAATCATACCAATAGTCTTCCTATTTAACATTTCCAATCTCCTTCAAATTTATTTTCTAGTTTAACACATTTTCTCCTCATTAGGATCATATAGGACTTTGCAAAATAATTAATATTCCATTCGAGATTTTCATATTGAGTAATTGGAAGAATCCAACTTAATCATGGTTCTAGCACTATCATTATCTCCAATTTTCATAGCACAAATTAAAACCCCCTAATTGGAGCTTTGATACGAGTTGTTAGGGAAGATAACAAAATCTTATAATAAGCGGAAGCAAAACCCATAATCTCTTTTCCCATGTATAAATGATAGTAAGCTCCAAAAATATTAAGTAACAAACAAATGATAGTATGTATCAAAAGTAGAAAGTCAAGAAATAAGAAGACGCCAAATTTTAACGTGAGAAAACCCCCAATGTGAAGGAAAAAACCCATGGGATCTAGTCCGATAAAAACTTCCACTAATAATAATTAATGAGTACAACACAATTTCTCTTGAAGTCACCAAGGATCAACAGAATACTATTCCTTCACCAATTAGGTGGATAACAGATAACCTTAACATGTATATAATAAGACAACAGAGAACAAAAATTATAGAGTAATGGGAACCATAGAACCTCCTCTCCGAGCTAACTCCCCTACTTGGAGCTACTCTGAATAATAAGTTCTTCTTCTCTTCTTATGGTGACTTCTTTCTATAGCTCACTAGATGCACACTTTTGTATTCTCTATCTCTGTCTTTTGTTTTCTATTTGTCCTAAAGGAGTCATATGTAAATAAATATAATTTTATATCAGGGATAAAAAGAATATCCTTACTCTTTTTAACTTAGTCAGCACGGATCTAATAAATTGGTGACCCAGTGACGAACATTGACATACATATTTCCAAGATGGATTTCCTATAATTCTTTCTAGTATGGAATGAGTCAATCATTCACTTTGGTATCTTACTAAACAAAAATGGTGATATTATTCATCCATTAATAAGAATTTCGATTTTTGAAAAGTATATTGATCATCTACTAATAAGGGTTTCCTTTTTTTAAATGAAAGATTTGAAAACCTATTAATTTTAATAAATGATTCTAGAGTAGATCATTCGAACTTCTCAATTTATAAATGTGGATCTCGAACCTATGAATAAGAATATCCAAAATTCACAAAAGAAAAAAAAAAGAAATGAATTAAATAAAAAGAGAAGAAACTTAAAAAAAAAAGTAACTTAAACCAAAAAAATAAACAAAATGACTTAAACATACATATTTCCAAAATGGAGGAAATTATTATTGTGGATCTCCAATCCTTGCTGTTATTGGGATATTTTCCCGGTCCCAGGGGACTTATAGTAGGATAGCAATGATTTGTTTTGAAAATGCTAGAATATGACATATCTCCTTTGGATGGTGAGTGATTCAATTTTTGTTGTTAGGGCCTGGGCTTTTGATATGGGTTAAGATGTTCCTTGAAGAATTAGAAGAAGGTGGTCTATTGATCTTTACATACAAATGCCGGTTCATGTCTCATGTTTTTTTTTTTTTTTTTAAGTAATAAGTGTGATGATAAGATGGTTCATCTAGAAATTTTAAATAGAATATCACTCCATTCATGATATACACTCCCGGTTGGGTTAAGCTTTAAATTTTTCAAGAATAATTATAATTTACCTGAATATAGATGTTATTTCAAGAGTTTTGTTTGGTTCCCTCGTGAATTTTGTATTATTTATTTATTTATTAATACATTTTCATGCTAACCTAGTTAAGATTACTGTACATATAAGGATGTTTTGCAGGATAATTTATTAAAAAAAATTGTGTTATTAATAAATAATTACAATTTCTTTTATACTATTATATAATATATTAAAAAGATGAAAAAAACTCTATTTTAATCTATACATGAATTTAATTTATTGAAAAATAAATAAATTATTATTTTTTAAATATTTCATACAAACAATTTTTCAAAAATAATCTAAAAGTATTCGAGGATGGTATTAATTATAATTATAAATTTTCTAATATCTTCTCCCTTTTCACCTCTATTTTATCTCTTAATGTATGAAACTTATATCATAACAGACAGTTTGAGCCATAAGAGGTAAGTTGACATGAATTTTCATAACATTAATGGTGTTGTTCTCATAAATATAGCAATTTTATTAATGTCATAAATAGTGGGTAAATGAGTACAAATAAATACTCAAATTAAAATTATTTGTTTTCATCCATATTATATTATATATGATATAGGATGAACAATTACAATTTGGTTAAAAAAAAATTGCATTATCATCATTGAGTAATCTATTAAGCACGAACAACTCAATTAACAAAACAGTAATTGTGTTTCAAAGAAAAACCTCTTTCTCCTTTTTTATACCTTCCCTGACCCGACATTGCAAGCCCCACCACCACCATATCGTGTTCACCTAAACCACGTCTTCCTGTTTAATTCAAAGCATGTTTAAGATATATTTATTAATTTTATCACATATTATTTTGATAGACTTTGGTTAGTTATAATTCCTTTTAATAGAAATATTTGCAATAAGCATTTATGAGTTCCTTTGATCATATAACATATTTCTATCTTCATCTTTATCTTCTATTATTATTTTTTTTAATGTTGGCAAAATCTTCACGCAAATCATTGATCAATCTAAATTTTCTCAGTTTAATTCTCTCTAGTTTTTTTTTTTAATTTATTGTCTAAATCATAACTGCATATTAATTTTGCTCAGAGGCTATTATGGGTAAACTTTATTATTTATGTTAATTTTTTATAAATCTCGTTTTAGAGTTAGCATGTGTTCTGATTAGGTTAAGATATGAAAGAGTGAGTTTGAGTAGATGTAATCTAAAAGAAGAGAAAAACAATAAATTTAAATGAATTTATTGTAATTAATAAAATTGAATATAAAATAATAATATGTTTAACGTAATGATCAAAATACAGAATAAAATGAGATATTTATATAAAAAAAAATTAATTTTAGATCATTCAAATATAATTATTATTCAATCACCTCTCATCTCACCGTTTCAAAGTATATTTGTAATCCATCACCCCAAATTCCTACCATTAAATCAAGTCTATCTCCCCAAAATCTCCTCCATCGAAAATATTGTTAGTATAAGAGACAAGGGAGAAAAATTAACCGAAAAAAAAAATTTCTCCCTTAATGAAAAAAAAAATTAGGGGTGAATCTTACTACAATATTTTCGGTCTTTCCAAGGATAGAAAGTAAAGGCAGACAAAAGAAAAAGTTTGTTATTTCTTTTTCATAATTGATCAACCTAGTTTCTTGAAAACTATATACATGCTTTTTATATGTTATTAAGGGTAGAAATAGTTTAGAATTTTTATAGAATTATATGATTTAACTTACATCAAACTAAATTCACACGGTATAAATTGGGTTATTTTAAGATTATATAAAATATTTTTAATTAAATTAAGATTAATTGCTTGTTTATTATGATTTATTTAAAAATAGACATCAATGAGGATAGTTCAGTTTTTCTGTAAATGGAAAAAAGGTGAAAATTGAATTGATGAATCACGAGTTAGGCGCATGGGATGTGCAAATGCGATAAAATAGGGCATGAGTTGCACGCGCTCAATGCCACGCTCTCTCTCCCTACAACGACCCTTCAAAATATCTGGCTCACATTTCCTCAAGATATTATCTGCCAGATGACGTGGCACCCCTACGACGGCACTGACACGTGTAAAAGCGAAGCCATGTGGAGCCTTTCTCCTCCCCGAATACAACCTCTCTTCCCCTCGACCGAGCCCAGAGGGTTTCTTCTCCGCTAAAATTCCGATCACGCTCCATGGAACCACGCGATCTCCGTGGCAGCATCTCGCCGCCGTTCTCCTCCGATCTGGAACCGTTGTCGGATGACCTCACTCGCTCCACCTCTGACTCTTCTGCTATCACCGCCGACGACACCTCCAAGGACTTCTTGCCTCATTCCACGCCGGCTCCGCTTCTGGTAACTTCACTTCTTTTCCAATTTCTCTTGCGAACAACGTGACGGATTTTTCGATTTCGCTTTTGTTTCTTGATTTTGTGGTCGGAGCTTGCGTGTTCAGAGGTTGATCTTAGAGTTGCACTACGAGGACGGGCCTGTAGTTAGCCGTTTGGATTCAAGGTCTTGTCAGTGCTTATGGGCTTTGCTTTTTTGGTGTTTAAGGGCTCAATTGTACTTGGCTTGCTTTCACTGGCTAGTTTCTGATATTTGTTGGTTAAATTCTGCAGTTAATGAGTTAAGAGTACCGTCAAACAACTGAAATCGATAATCGTGTTATTAATTTGCAAACAGTTTCATTCTGTGAGGTGTGAGTTTGACCGTGGATGCTGAAACATTTAATCACTTTGTTTTGCAATCTCTTATGTTTGGCCTCTTAAAGCGCGTTTGTGCACCTTTTCTCCAAAATTATTCATACCGTTTAGCATGTGTCGTTCGTAAATGATTTCAGCGGGCACCAACGGGTGAGCTGTTGGTTCTCATATGTGCATCAAATAGCTTATTTTGTATTAATGAAATGAAATACTTGAAGAAAATTTAGATAATTCAATGAAAAAATGATTTAATTCAGAGGAAGAATCATTTGAATACTTTTGATTGGCTCGTAGTTTTGAGTTTATCTATTCTTGGTTATTGGAATTATATTCAATTTTTATATGTTATATACCGGACTAATTTAGTTACTATATAGCCTTAAAATCTCGACATAACTTACTTTCAAATGATATTTATGTGAGCTTATTTGTTTGCTGGGAAATTTGATAGTTTGAATTTGACAATCAAATTGTATTCCATGTTTGTGATTAGTAGTGAAGATGGAAACTCTTCATTTAGTTGGCAAGGACATACTAAGCTCAAGATATTTTCCAGGATCAGTCAACTAGATGGACGGATCAGCAGCACAGTCAATATATTCGTTCTTTAGAGGCCTCATTTGTGAATGAATTGCATCGTTCTATGCATTTACGTTGGTGGAGCATAAAAAATAGCACAGATGAAGCGTATAAATGTAGAATTTTGCAAAATTCACATAAATTGCCTAAGCAGGTCAGACATAAATTCAAAGATCATCTCTGCGGTGTGGATATTTGTTATATTTTGTACCTATCCGTGCACAATTAAGCGTTATTATCTTTTGTTGCTTTCAGACTCTGGCTTTTCAAGATGCCTGCCAGAAGAGGATCAACCTTGAAAGAATTGCACCTATGTTTGAGAGCACAGCTGATTCTCATGTTCTTGCAGGAAGTCGATTCAAACTTACATCTGTGGATAGAGGCTGTAGTTTGGGAGAGCCTAATATTTGCAAGCATGGCTTTCTTTGTGATGAGGAAATTCATGCAAGAGGAAGTTCAACATTTACTGACAGGTCTCCAAGAAGTTTAGAGATGCAATGTATTTGCGGCTCATTCCATCAAGAATTGGCTTGCAGTACTACAGGTATCTTCAAAAAAAGAAAAATTTATGCACATTGATTATCCTTTAGCTAGAATATGATACTTTCTATCACCCCCTCGTTTCTTGCTTCTTCCATACACTGCTGTCATATGTTTACAGATTTTTTCCTTTCTCCCTCAAAATACATGCATATAGTTTAATCAGAAGTTACATAATCAAATTATTTTGTTTAGTTATTTAAGTTCACAGAACATGGAGTTAGTCAGTTTTTATGGGGTCTAAATGATCTGTCTTGTACCAAAATAACAAAGGTAAGCTGTGTATCAATTAGTTTTGAATTTATCTGGTTTAAAAGTTTATTGATGCTGGCTCATTGTACTCTTGGTTGAGGATCTGTGGTTAAAGATTACCAGTTATATTTTGAAGTTAATATTTTTGAAAATAATTTGTTACTGGCAAAAGGGTGTTCCTGGTAAGTTGGCACAGCGTATGGTTGTGATCTTGCTGGAGGTCACAGGCTAAAATCCTGGAAATGGTGTCTCTGCTTGCAGGGGTAGGAATGTATACCCTCCCAAGACCGCACTAGGTGAAAAATATTCAACCAATGTATATCTTTTTGTTGTTGTTGATAATGACTGGAGTTGCTAAACAAATGAGTTGAGCACTTATAGTTCGGAACCCACCCATGAAAATAAGAGATAACTCAATTTTGACTACCTAATTTAAGAGTCAAATTTAAAGCTTGAGCTTTGCTTAGTTAACATGGTTTGTTTAACTTGTACATGGCTTGGTTATCTTTTTAATATTTAATTGGATTTCTCTTAAAATAATTTTTGTTCATTAATTTGGTTTTCAATTATCAATAGACACTTCCATGATAGCAAGTCAATAATGACTTAGGATTTGGAAAATAAAATATTTGATGATGAAAATAGTTTTTTTTAGAAAGTCATTGTTACTCATTTAAAATATGACTTATCAGGTTATATATATATATATATATACACATATATATATACATATATATATATATATATATATATTTATATATATTCCAAGTAAATATACTAAATAAGAGGACAACTATTTGGGTAATTAGATAACACATACATATCTGAACTATTATGCAAAATATTAATTCAAGTCCATAAAACTCGAGCTTGACTCTTTTAAATCAAGCCTTAACTTCTCTATGTTTTAGTTTGTTTGTTTGAGTCAGAAATGTCACAAACAACACAACTCATTTACACCACTATTGATGACAGTGGATTTCATCAATTTACAACTGTAGCAATAATGCAACTCTGTGTTGTGTTTTTCATTGTAGATCCTTGTGTGAATAAAAAAGGAAACATGTTTTCCACATTGAAATAACTAATAATTGAAATTAAACCTAGTCATCTTACTTGCGTTTATGCATGATATGTATAACTTTATGAGCTATTTGTTGTGTATCTCAGTCACGTTCTTTTCGCTGAATCAGTTCTGCAGTTAACATTCTTTTTAATCTAATTGCATAACCACATTACATTTAAGATTTTATAAGAAAAATTAAATATTTTCAAATGGTGGTTGTAATTTTATTTAACGGGTACAGAAAAGGATAAGAGAGTCAATCTGAACATGACATTTTTTTGGAATAATAATGTTTTAAAGGTTGCGGTTGAAGCCTGTATGTATAAAATACTCTAAGTTAAACTTCAAACCAACCTGGGGTAGGGGTGGGGTGGGGGTTGAGTGAGAGAGTTGTTGTGATTCTGGGCCTTCATAGATATACGATTTAGTTTATTTCTATGCTCTGAGAGTTGGAGATTTAATGTGGATGATTTATGTACTCTGCAAAGCCTTTGCTCCTTATACATACAATCGGTTTACAGAGTACCTAGGCTCTTGTTCTCATGTTCTAATTAAGTACTTGTAAACCACTTGACAACATGTACTGAGTTTTCTCTATTTTCTTAAGTAACTCGGCTCTAGTTTCACTTGACTTTCTTACGGTGCTTGGATTCTGTCAAACACAAATTGCATGCTATCTACTGGCAGAATTTACTATGTTACATTTTTGTGGGAAGTAAATTAATACCTTAACTTAAACAGGGAGCTATTGTGTAATCCATGGACAGAATGATCAGTGTTTAATAATACGATGCTGGTAATTCTTAAAGAAACATATGTTGTAAAATAAAGCATATCAAAATTTGAAGTTTGCATCAATATGAGCTGTCTAGAGATGGTGCTTTGAGATTAAAGTGGGTGGGCCCAAATATTCGTTTCTTCTCACTATCTTTTAAATTATTTTTGTGGGACTACATGATAGGGGAATAGAGTTGCTCAATAGATTTTACTGTCGTTTTTCTTTCGGGAATTAATTCAATCATTATGTTGTTCTATGTATTTTTGATAGAGGTCACCGATCAAAACTTCCAGGATGAAGAAGCCAAGTCAAGCTGTGTGCCCTTGGTGAAAAGGTTGAAGAAAGCTACAGCTGATGTTTCAAGCAGTGATCAAGTAGAGTGGAATTTTTATTCTCTGTCTGATAAAAATTTCAAATAACCTGAATTATCTTACACAGCTTTTCAAATTCCTTTAACCTGCAGACTGTGCCGTTTGGAAAACTTCACACACCAGATGTTTCAACTAGCAGTAATGCAACCCCAGAAAATAGAGGACATGAATTGCTATCAGAACCACCAGAGAGAGCTACTATTTCCCAAAGTCTGATCTGCCATACTTTATAGGGGGAAGGTAAGAATATGCAACACATTATTGAAGCCTCGGATTTTACAGTGGATGCTGATACAAATTGAGAGAATTGACAATTTGCTTGGTTCTTTCAAGAATTTGTTGAGAGACTTGTGTAAAGGAAATCAAACGTTACAACTCTATTCTTGTGGAATTTAGCGCTGGTTAGGTTATCCCAGGGTGTTTCATGTAACATAGTGTAACGGATAACTATCAATAGCAATTTTCATAGACATAGTAAAAATTATGATTTTATATGATTTTTTTCAGATGAGATTTTGGATGGTTAACCAGCCGTATAGGTATCCAAGATTAGTATTACATTCTTTAGTTAGCTTCATCAAATTTTCTTATAGAAATTGTACTTCAAATAGTTGACAAGATAAAGATATCCAATATGCACGTCTTTATAGTATACTGTATGGATCAGTTGGATTTGGGCTTGTTGGAGGCATATTTTTATCAATGATTATTATGAATTTCTTTTAGTAGCAATGAGATCTACTATGTAGGTTTTGGCATCTGCTTCTGTTCGTTGAACTACGGCTCACTAACATTTTTGTCCCCATTGTCTCTCATAGTTTGGGGTAGTTTGGTGCAATTAAATTGTCTTTCAAGAATTGTTGGTTTCGTTCATCCTATCAAATTGTGTTGACTGTTAAATTAGTTTTGCTGGAGGTCGCAAGTTTGGCTCTGGCCGTTTCATGTACTTACTTAATCTTTTTTGGCGAACTTCTATGTAATCCGTAAATCTCCAATTTGAAATGTAGCTTGTGTTGTAATGAGTCCTGTATGAAGAGGAGAGAGAGAGAAAGAATGTGATCTAAAAATGAAAAAAATAAAATAAAATATTCTATAAATATTTTATTAAAATAAAAATTATTATTTATTCAAATGATTATTATTTTCTTAGGCTGATGACAGTATACAGCATAATCCATTAGAACAGTGGAGGGTTCTTTACCATAGTTACTTGCTGCATAAAAAATGAATGTGTGGTTGGAAGTGATGACTTACCGTGGTTAGTCTGGTTTAGTGTCATATATTGATATTTATACCTATAGCATAATATAATGAAAAAGTGGTAATGAATGTAATTTATGCAAAATATAAAGGATTGGAGACTCTTCTTTTAAATTAGTCCATCAACTTCATTTTAATTAATCGAAAAATGAATTGTTGTGGTGGGAACAAGTGTGATCTCATGGTTGGAGTTTTCAGAATAATAATGACAACAAAATATGTTGTTCATTCAAAATCACGTGTTATTACATTAATTTTCTTTTAATCAATTAGTTTAATAAAAATAATTTTGTATCAATGAATCATGGTTCATATGTTATATATTATTTTCTTTAATGATATATTTGGTTGGAGAGAAAAAGAGATAAGAAAGTATATTGAAATAAGGAACATTTGTAAAAGAAAAACTAAGGCGGAAATAATTTTTAAAATAGTAAAATTCAATCTTCTATTTCTTTCTCTTGTATTTTTATCTTTTTACTTTTCTTTTTTTCTTTTTTAATTAAATATCTTTAACTTTTATTTTATTTTATTCTCTACTTCTACTAATATTTTTATTTTAATTTATCATTATTTTCTCTTAAAATTTTAAGTCTTGAAATAATAATAATAATAATAATTTATGATTTTGTAATATTAATATCAATTGGTGATGGCGGCTGGGAGATTTATGCTAAACCCACCTTTCATAATAAATGGCTTAGGTGGAAAATATTTATAATTAGATATTCAAGCTTTACTCTACTTCAAATATGTGTAATAGAAATTGAAAATTAAATTCAAACAAAGTTAATGTAATTCAATCCTTCGTGGGAATCATAATTGTTAACTGATCTACATGGAAAGAACATAATAGGAGATAATGATAAAGAAAGACCTATGATGCATTATCAGAGTATATGGAACGACAAATACTCAGAATCTGGTTTAGGGTAGAAACTAGGGAGATGTTTTATTTTTAAATTTTTCAGTTACTTCCGCAAAATAATTATTCTTTCAGAATAAAAATAATATTTTACCAAAATCTATAATGAAGTTTAAATTAATATATACATATTATGAGTTGCTTGAATTTTTGTAGAACTTATTTCATTGAAAGTAAAAGCAAATATAAATTGTTCAGTGATAATACGACATTATAAAGACTACAAATCACGAGAGTGAAACAATTCATGTGAAACGTTCTTTTGTAGTTAGGTAATGAAGTTTTAGAAAAAGCCTCGGGTCAAAATATTATAACAAAACTTGAGACAATGCATTGATTAATCGTTATTCCTTTCTTTGATTAATTTTTTCATTCTCATAAAAATAGCTCGACACAAAAAATGTTGTTTCCTAATCTTAAGTAAATGACTAATTTATTTTATAAGTGTTTTCATTTTCATTGAATATAGTTCCCCACATGTAATAGTTTTATTAACGTATTTTTTACTACTTCTTTGTTGTTTCTTTTCTTTTTCATCTGGTTGAGTTAAAAAACATTGAAAAATGCTATTAAAATTCCGAGTCTAGATTGTGAGACATGAACTAGGTCAAAGTTAATTTTTCGTCTATTAAGATTCTCTCGTCACCTAGTGCAACATAATACTTATGTTTTCGTCACCAGCATTTGATGAAATATGAAGTAAATATTAATTAAGATTTAGGGGAATGTAGTATTAATGTATTAATGTTGTTACTTAGGGTGAAAGTAAGAAATAACTAACTTTAATGGAAATAAAAAACTTAATATACACACTATTAACACCTCATTTTTATACACAACTTATTAAAATATTAAAATTTGTTAATTCATTAAGTTTTCTTTCACCTCAACTGTATTTGTGGTTTTTCTTTCAATATTCCTTTTGTAGTTAATTGTTCTCAAATAACTTAAAATATATTCATGAATTTGTTTTAAATAATAATATATTTAGTTCATATCCATATGTTTAAAATAAACTAATTTTTTATGTATTTTAAAGTGTTTTAAATTAAGATAAATATTTTAAAATTATAAATAATTTATTTAGTTAAGTAGATAATATATTTTTTTAGATAAACGTCATATAATTTAATATTTTTAATAAATATTTTTTTCATATTTAATACACTATTGGATCAATTATTTTTCACATTAATCAATATAGTATTGGATCCACATTTATATTATTTATAATTTTTTAAATATTTATCGTAATTTAAAATAATTTAAATATAAAATATGTAGTATTTAAGTTATTTTTATTTATAACTTTTATGCAGGAGAAAATTGATGGGACATTATCGTGACGGTTAAAAGTCAAATACAAACCCTTCTTCTGGATGCAATATTCCCAAACATTTGGCTGTTGGATTAATTTATATTTCGATTAATTATGTATATAATTAAATGATTCAAAATGATATATTAGTTAATAAATTTTGCATGTTTTGTCTTTGTTTTATTGTAATTTGGTGATTGAAAATTGATTATATACTTTTAATTTATTCCAAACATGAAATGTTAACATAAAAGGATCATTATTAGAAGCAGATAATAATCAAGATAAATAGAATTTTAGAAAACATTATCGTGCTTATAATTATGTAATTTATTTAAAGTGTTTTGAAATGCTTTGTTCTTTTTTATAGAACAGTTTTTGCTTCTCTTTATCATATATAATAATTTATTTTTCTCTTGATAAAATAATTTATATTAGTACAAGTATTTAATATATGTATTTGAATTTTTTTCTCTATTTTTTCTTTTATTTCTATTGTATTGTTTATATATCTTTTACTTCGTAGAATTATAAATTTTGATATGTTAAGTGTAATCGCAGGTGTCTTATTTTTACGAAAATATTCTATTTCTCACTTTTTTTAAAAAATTATGTCAAATCAAATTATTGGTTTTAAATTTAAAAAATTATATTACCAAAATTATATAATTAATGTTTTTCTATATAATTTATTATAAGATGACAAATATTCATCGTACTTAACCATTTTTTAATTTTAGTGAGAAATTACAACACAAGATTAGTCTAAGGTTATTATTTGTAGTGCACCACAACATTATAAAAGAAGTATAAAACTAAAACTTTAAATTATTATGATAAATAAAAATTACATATTTTGATTATCAAATCTTTTATGAAAAGAAGTATAAAAATATAACTCTAAATTATTATAATATTAACCTCAAAACATTATAACATTAGTCAAGATTAAAATTATTTTTAAGTGAAATATCCTTTTAATATTAATGTGGCATATATTTTTTTATTTGACAAAGGTAGCGAGGTAAAATAAAGATATTTTATGTATATAAAAATAATTTATATTACTATTTTTTATAGGATATATAAAAAGAAGAAAGAATTTTATTTATTTTTTATTCCTTATATTCTTATCACAATTATACAAATATTTACATTGTCCAGTGGAAACAAATTGATTAAGAATTTTGAATGGTAAGAGACATACAGAAGGTAACCACTATTGATCCATCTAACATGATAGAAGTTTCCATATCATATGCAAATGTTAATACTGACAATTATGCCCCTTTAAAAGTAAATGAGTTGCCAATAACTGTTGTGTTCCAAGTAGTTTCTGAAAAGAAGACAATGATGCTTGCAAAAAAAGGATTTGAGATATTTGACACCTCCATCTACTTAAATTGATATTTAAATATAACATGCACAAAAGATCACAATAAAGAGTGAGAACAATTATAATTTAAAATATTATATATATATATATATATATATAATATATATATATATATATATATATATATATATATATATATATATATATATATATATAATATTTTTCAAATTCTTCAATACTTGTTGAAAGTCTCACATCGCCTACCTCATATCATTTGGTATGGTTTAAATACATGTTAGGCTACTCCACATATTTCCAATTGGTTTTATGTTGGAACCTTAACATGGTATCAGAGCCAAAGCCTAACATCTTTCCGATTATTGTCATGTGTCAT